AAGTGAAAAGACAGAGTCATAGGGTGGGAAAAGGATACGCAGAGCGAAAAGGCACATTTTCCTCTGAAGAAATAAATTGAACTAGAGGATTTGAATGCTCATTGGCAGAGTAGTTGGACGTAGTCCTTAATTAAGGGTACTTTTGCAATGTCATGAAGTGAGGCTGTGGGAAATCGTTGAGGTTTGTTCAGAATAGTTTTCAAAATTTTCTGAATAGTAGTTTTGCAATATTTGGGACAGATTGGCCACCAAATTTGAGAACCGTAGTTCAAGACCGGGCGGATGCACATTTTGCAGATGCTGAGGCTCAAGGCAAAAGCTCTTCTCCCTATCCCTTTTAACTAACCCTCGGATGGCGGACCATGGAGAGAGCCACAATTCTAATTTCATTCCGTACTTCGTACGCTACTATCGTTTTCGAAATTTCACGCCGCTGTTCAAGGGTTAAAATGCGAAGAACCGCAATGGGTATAGGATAGGGAGATACGCGTATAGATTACTCGCGCCGCCGCTTAGAGGCATCCTATTTGGAGCGCAAAGAGTTGATGCTCTTTTCCGGGACAGAATGACTCATCGATGCATGACTGGCTGTTATGCGTGAAAACAAACGTGTTAGCACTTTCTAGAAGCGATGTTAGATTCTGCATAATCGACCTGTATCGTTTCACACTTTGTTGAAACGTTGCATCAGGTCGATTAACAAATCGAGCTAGTCCACCACGATTTCGCTGGGAAAGCTTCTGACGAGAGGCTCGGATAGTTCTGTACTGACAATCACGTCCGACTTTGATCTCTCGTTCCACTTGTACAGTAGAAACGGCTAGCCACGGTGCACCGCGGCGCTCGATCGAAAAATTTCTTTATTTCGCTCGGCTAACGCTTTGGAATCGCGCGAATTAACCCCTTCTAAGATTAGAAATTTCAACTGGGGCAACTGAATCAAGGAAGCTTATCCTATTTCTTATCTCGACGCGGAAAGAAAAAAAAAAGAGAGAAACAAACGATAAAGTGCAAACGTGTTTCTCTTTATCTAACGATAACGCGAGAGATTAACGGTAGATGATCGCATCTCGAGAGGAAGAGGAAAATCGATAGCGAGATTTCGGTAGGCGGTGCGAAGGCGTTCTAGGATGAAAGTCTGTCGCAAGCGATCGGCAAGTCGACTTGACGTTCGATAACACTGGCGGAGACGGGATTTGACCTCTCGCACACGCGTGTTACACCGAAAAGCACCGTCACGTTCGTCGCCGTCCCCTCCGAATATGCGGAGAAGGAGAACGTTTCGCGATAACGCTTCCACCAGATACGACGGAATCTCTCGTTAGACGAAAAAAAACCTGCGGCCAATTGAATCTCTTTTTGCTCTGTTTCCGGCCAACCGTGCCGTACTCTTGTTTCGCGACAACGCGGACAGATAACGAACGCGTCGCGTTCGCCTAGTTCCATGCTTTTGCAACGATTTCGTGTCGAACGAACTCGGCATGAACGAACGAGCCATCGAACGAAGGCAGGCTGTTGGCAAAAATGGAGGTGACTTCATACGCGGTAATTAATGATCGATCGAGCGAAGGAAACGCGGGAACGATAGGAGAGAGGTCACCGATGATACCGCGACTCGTACAAAGTGTAATTTCCGCGGACGTACGATAACGCGGATTCGCTTCAATGAGATTTTCCACGGCTCGCCATGGAAAACAGAGGAGGGGGGGACAGAGAGGGGCAGAGACGAAACAAAAATGCACAATCGGTCGAGCAAATTTCCATACACATAGATTGAAACGCAACGAAGCTCCGAATTTGCGAGAAATTTCTGAAACACGGTGATCGTTTCAAGGATCAACGATTCTCGTTACAACGTAGTCGTTTTCAGTGGAATTAATTCTGAACACTTTTAAATTTTTACTTAAATTTCGCATTTATTCAAATTATTTAATATATAATCATTTATATTTTATATTCTAATCGTTGCTTTCTAATCTCAGGGCCTCGCTTATATAAAAAAAATCAGTAAAATGATCATTTACAATCATACTTTAGTCATGATGTAGTCAACGCATCAAAGGAGGTAGAAAAAAATTAATATTCCGTTGGATATCCTTTCATACTGTGATCAGCTATTTCAAAAACAAAAATAACATCACATTTTAGATTTTTTTAAATAAAAATTTTTAAAACATTCACAAACCAAATCGTGTGAAAATATTAAGTATCAATTGAAAAATTTCGGTATCAATTTAGCATAGCAGAATATACATTTTCTGCATAAATATGAAATATTTTTATTCAAAGTGTCTAGAATTAACTCCACCAGTGTAGATCATTCATTCTGATTTGCCATGCGTTTCTATCGTCTATTACGATAGCCTCAAGGAAATAGAAAAGTAAACGATCCTTCTCTTGAATTACCTGGTTCACTGGAGAACATCCAACGCAAACTTTTTCCTTCCACCAATTGAAATAACTCGTAAGCGCGACCGAATGAATCGCTATTGCCTTTTCAATGTTATTTTTCTGCGCCGAATTATAAGCGAGAATTAATCGTCGCTTTAGATTCAATTAGGAAAACGTGAAACGACGGCCACCGGTGTCAACGTCTCAATCTTTCACGATTAAATTCGATTGAGCGGGACAGTGGACGAGTTGATAGCAAGCTAATCGCAAACCTTCTATGATGCTTAAAAAAAAAAGAAAGAAAAAAATTGTAAATATCTTCTTGGATACGAAGTTATGAAAGCGGGCATGTTTCGATGCAAACTTACATCACTAGATGGTCAAGAATTCATTTTTCTCTCTTTTTTGGCTGATTTTTCAAGGATATCAAGATCATCGATTTATTTTTAAACGGATCGATATATTTCTGTTAGCTTATTAAAAAAGAAAAAGCAAATTCAATGACGTAAGTACGTTGACCTTAGGATGATCTTGAAGTAAAAATAAGTATGTTTCGGGAGGGAAATTAGAGGTGTTAGAGTTGCATGTTACAAACTCTGTACACGGATCAGACTTCTCCAAGAAAAATACCAATGTCCCTAGTTCTTATTCACCTTTCTTCTCCGTAAGCCTCTTCCTCTTCTAACACACATATTATTTTTGTACTTTTATATCCTTATATAGAAACGATAACGCGCTATCTTGTCCGACTCGATAAACATTAGGTACAAATGTACTTACTTCGCGAAGCAAAAATCGTCGATTGTTTTACAGATCTGGTTAATCAGTCGGGCACGCTTTCTCCGTTAATCGATCGCGATAACGAGCGACCGCCGAGATATCTGGCGCATTCGTCTCGCGATTTGTTCGAATTCGCGCGAGCATTCGTACGATCCGCGCACACTGTTTCCTCGGAAAATTCATTTTTCTCCCGAGATAACGCGCGAAAATCGACGCTTCCTCTTTAATCTACGCTCGCATCACCGTTCGAAATAGACAGGCCGAGATTTTGACGCGCAAATCGGTAATCTTCATCGCGCGATACACGCTTCGTAGATCGTCCGCGTTGTTAAAGGGTTAGACCACTCTAGAGCAAGAAAAAATAGGCATATTTTGGGAATTTAAAAAAAAAAATGATAGAATCAATCCAAAGCCTGTAAGCATGCCTTTATTTTGCAACTAATAAACTTTAAAAATTAATTTTTGTATAGTGATTCAAGTGAAAATATGGGCTATGCAGCATTTCTTCGATGACGTCTCTTTTTTCTGGGGCTAAACGGCCGGACCAGCAGCTCTTGCAATTTTTAACTTAGGATTTTGCAAAAATGGCGAATTTTTAAAGAGGAAATGTAAAATTTCAAGAAAAAATCGCCAGAAAATTATTTATAAGAAAAAAATTTAGAGAATTAGAAAACTAGAAAATTAAAGAATTTAGTTTTGAATATACTGTTAAATTTTCAAATCGATTAATGATGATCTGTTTGATTTATAAGTCCGACCAGTTTGAAAAATGCGGTTTCGAGAAAACTGCGGCAGAATTCGAAATTCGAGTACTTAGAGATTTTTCCTACCCACAATCTTTTGCCATATCATTTTTAAAACATTGAGGCACCTTTTAAGCAAAAGAAAAAATTTCTACTTTTTCAAAATTCTAGAGTGCCCTATCCCCTTAACAAAGAAAGCCAATTCGATCGTCGAACTATTTTCGCAGCTAGTTCGATCGGGTAGCGGTATCGGTATCTGGCAGTGTCATCGAAATATGAGGCGACATTTCGACGAGACGTATCGTAGAAGGTGACATCGAGACGGAGGGGTCAAAATCGTTCCGTCCCGCCGTCGGCTTCGAGAGTTTGGCAAGCCGCAGGGTTGCGTAACCGCAGGCCCTCGATCTCCGAGCACAGTTCTTCCCTCGTTTCTCCATCGTTTTCTCGCTACCCTTAACCGAGACCAAGTTACGTCATTGTAGCAGGTCAGCGGCGCCTACACCCGATTCGCGTACACGCTTGTCTCAATGAAATTACTCGTAATTACTAAACAATATTTGTGAAACCGTTATCAAGTGTCTCATAGATAACACGTAAGCTAGCTATCGCGTAAATACGCTTAGTTTCGGCTACTAGCGGTCTTCTGATAATATTTTCAGCCTCCGCAAGAATTTATCCCAGTTTTTTCTCCATTCCGTTCGAAAGATAAATTTTTCATTCGATTTAAATCCAAGGAAACTGGCGTTTCTTATCTAAGACACAGGGGTAGGGGAGGAGAACACCCTCGGATGAAAAGAGAACAGATGCACGGTTTCTCGAGGCTCGAGTCGTTATCTTTTGTTTTCGTAAGAAAATATAAAAAATGATTACTCCTCTGACGACGTTTCGTTAATATTCGATAGAAGAAAAAGAAAAGGGGGATGGATAAAATGGGCAGGTGGGAGGAGCGTGTTAGAGAGACAAGAGGGATAGAGAGGAAGCTAAGGAGGCAAGGAGCTGGTGGTGGTGGTGGCGAATTAAAAGAGGGAGGAGGCGAGTGAATCGCGATTAAGTTGTAACATCTATTGAGAAGGGGTAGGTGAGAGAGGAGAGAGGAAGGAGGAAGAGGTAAAGAATGGACGAGTCAAGTCTGGAGCCAAGCTGGCTGCACGAGAAGGGGCTCGACATCGCGTTTACAAACGGCCACTCTTTGGTGGGGACGCGGTTAAGCTTATAAGGCGGCAGAACACAGTTGCCGGGACCAATAGTTGCAAAACGTTGATTGTGTCGCGTGCAACAAAAATACTTCTGTCCGCGATCAGTTTCGCAACAAATCAGCTACGTCTCGAAACGAGCCGAACCGAACTGACGGATATTAATCTTCCGGGATCGACGTTCCTGATCTTAGGGCTAGTGATTCGAATACGGTGGTGAACAATCGCATTGTAACGTTCGCGTTACAACCACGAAAGGAACCTGTTGATTCTTCGCCCGTTTCACGGACCATCACCTTCGATATCTCCAAGGAAGAAGAATTCAGGACAAAGAGCGCGGTTTATCCATCACAGTGAGTATCTTTAACAATCGAAGAGAAACTAACCGCGTGGTGCATCATCTCGCCTAGGTGAACAAAGTCCGTCAGGAAGATTCTAGATCCGAGGAGGGAGGGTTCGTTGCGTTACAAAGTTTCAATCGAGTCGCGCGTTTCGGCGAACCACCCTTAGGTTCGATCAGGGTGGTCGATCATTCGAAAGTTTATTTTTTTTCGCGAAGCATCGACAGAGTTACCATTCCGCGCGATCGTTGGGTTGAATTCTTTCCTTCGTGCGAGAGCAACGAAGGGTGCTACTCGTTAGGTCGAGAGATAGCGAAAAAGAGGGGGTTGTTCGCGAGACGATCGCAGGCTCGTTCGGAAGCGGAAAGTTTCACGTCGATAGACGACGCGGAGAACACTGGGTCAAATGTATATGACGCGGCAAAGGAATCAACGAACCGCAATTTGTGTCGTGTCAAGAAGTTAACTGCTCGCCGCGTGGTTTCTGCAAAAACAATATCGCGCCGCGAATTAAACGCCCGCTAGAGATGATCGGGAGTCTTCCTCTGGGATCTCCAGCGAAAAAAGAATCGCATCGCGGAAAGCGTTGAAATTTGAACGGAAACCGTGGGGTGGTCGAACGGTGCGAAAGCGAGATCGGGTTTCGTCGTTGTCCCCCAGCCAGATAACCCCGTAAAAATCTTCCACTTACGAGCAGAGTCAGTCAGCCAGCGGTGGGAATCTGCACGGTCGATTGATTAATGGTCTCCTTGTATCCGATTCCGGTATCGTATTTGTTCGACCTCGACGAAAAGACGGGCAACGAGACGGTCGCGACGATCGCGAGCAGCAAGAATGGAAAAAGAAAGCGCGACGGGCGGAAGGGAGGTCGAGGGTGAGGGGAGGAAGGATAAAGAGGAGAATGGAAGAAAATAATTGAGAGGAAAGGACGGGGAAGAGGGGAAGAAAGAGAAAGAGAGAGAAAAGGGGAGGGTGGGGAGAGGAGACAAGTATGTTTACGCGGAAAGCGTAACCGATATCCCATTGATAGAATTGTTCGTACGCTTCTGTGTACGTTCTTTCTCTTGTAAATACGGCCTCTTCCCTTTCACGATACGCTATTCACCAGCGGCTTTCCGATAAGGGTTGAAAAAGAAGTATCCCCTCCGCGAACGAAATTTTCGACCAGCCGCTCGACGGAATCGACGCGGATGAACGCGAGCGAGATTCATTTGAGACAGGGGTCGGCAATTGTTTCACCTCGAGGGCTACTTTGTGGCAGCACTTTTTAAAATGATTGCATTCATTAGTTAATTTTGCTAAATTGTACCATAAATATCAGTGTATTGACGTGGCCATTCTAGTCGGTCGCGTGCAGGAAGCAAATCTCGGTTCAAGGCAGATTTTTCTAACTGTCTTGACGGGCCACAAAAAAACTCTTAGCTGAACGTAGCTTCCTTCGAATCGCTCATGATTCTTTGTCGAGAATCAAAAAGCGAAAGTATTCGACAATGAAACTCTCCCGAACGCGTGAACGGGCACAGCTGAGTGGAATGAATTCCACAGCGTCACGGAATGAATTTTGGGGAGGATCGTTGTAAAAGAGAACACAGCGATGACAAATCGACCACTTTAGACTCGTCGAATCGAAAAGAATAAAACTCCGATGCCTCAGGCTCCGTTGAAAGTATCTCATGCGACGTGCGAGTTAACGACAGCTCTACGAATGCTCTGAACTCACCCCCGTCGGAACCTTTGGTCAACATCTTCCTGACGATAGCTGTCTTTTCGGTGTACGCGTCGACTTTGGCCAAGTGGTCGCAGACGCGTTGGAACTCGTGAAACGCGTCGTCCTTGCTCGAACCTCGCGATTCTTCCTTAGCCTTCGTCGAGCAGTTCGATTCCTGATCGACGGAGGAACTCGTCGGTCCCTCGCCCTTCGACTGCTTCGATTTTTTCTTAGGGGACGATGAATCAACCACTTTGCGTTTCTTCGAGCAAGTCGACTCGTTCGCCGCTGCTTTCGTCTTGGACGGACCTGAAAGAGAAACGAAAACCGCGTTTCGAATTCGGGAAATCGAGAGGAAAGCGATCGATCCTAGGATGAACGATTGACTCGATTCTGAAACCCTTAATCGCGACTCGGCTGCTAGTAATCTTTCGCGACTGCAACGCTAATCTTCGTAAGGAGAAACATTTAACGCTCGATGCAACGTAAATCATCGAACGACCGATCGTTCTAATAGGCGATAATGCTCGAAAGATGATTTATGGGATACAATTTGTATATCCCCGATCTAATTGAACGGCAATTAAAACGGCTCGTCTGTCGCGTTATCGCGACAGAGATGAACGCCACTGAAGCTATTCGAATTTCTTTATCACTCTGTACAGGGCTGGTCAGAAAAGATGTACACCGTTGGCGAGTAGAAATCGATAAGCCTTTTACCTGTTTCGCGATCTGACCGTTCGTTATCGAGATACGTTAGGTGAAGAAGGGGTGAAAAAAGAGTTAGCTGGTAAAAGCAACGAAAGGAATTTTTCGCTCAACGCTCGAGAGAAACATCGTTCTCCGGCGTCGAGATCACCGCGTGTCGACGCTCTTTCGATTCGATTCTTACAGGAATTTTCAAACTCTTCGATCTTCTGCAGTATCGCGTCCTTGTCCTCGTCGCATAGATCAGACCAGCCGCTTATGTCCTGCTCGGGATCGTCTATTCTCTTGGTGCTGGCCCTCTGTTTCGCGAACACCTCGAACAGGCAGCTGAGATGATGCCAGGCCTTCATCTTGCCGTCGGCGAACGGGTTAGCCATCAGCTTCGCGATCCTCACCGTGTCCTTGTCGATCGGGCACTTGCACTTCTTGCATTTCGCGCGGCCGGTCTTTGCGCGCTCCACCGCGAACGGCTTCTCATCTTCCTTCTCCCCGTCCGACATTGCCTGAAAAATCAGCCGGATAAATGTTTGACAACGCCAGGTATACGAGAAGGAATTCGAAACCCAAGAGAAACTAACGTTTCGTCGTTTTCTTACAAATTGCTGAGCTTCCGTTTAAATCGCGCGAAACAACTCGAGCCGCGGCTACGAAATCTCTTTTCTTAACTTTTATACTTCTCGTTGTTCGAATAAAAACTGTCCAAAGACTCTAGGAACCGTCGTGACCCGAAGCGATGCGGTGATTTCAGGAGTAGAGGTGCGCTTCACGCGACAAGTAGCATAGGTCGAGGATATGTCCGGCGTATCCTTTAAAATTACACCGTTTTGTTTCTTTTCGGAAATATAATTATTCTTCGGACGTTTCAAACTCATTTGAAATAGTTACAAATGGTATTCGTAATAATAGGTATACTCGCGATCGAATCGTAGGCTTTAATTTCAATTCAAATTTTCGCGCGCGAACATTTTATATGAGGCCCCTTTCACCAGATCGTCAGTCGCCCCCAGGCTGCCGATGGGGAAGGGTGCAAACCCGGGACGCGAGAATTTTCCCTGGGGAAGCCTGATTCGATCGCGAGAGTGCGTATTCCAATGTAAGACGTCTATTGGCTGGTTGCATCGACGATGCGTCGAAAACGAGGAACTCGAACCGATATCAATCCCGTATTATTCCACTTGTGCAACGAGAACATTCTCATAGAAGATAATTCTCGAACTGCGCCCGGCAATTATCGTAATCGCGATTACCGTCGAAATATTGTTTCATCGAGACCTTCGACTCCGCGTTGTGTCATCCTTTCGAAGCTTCGATTTTCGCTATTCGTCTTTCAACGTTTCTCGCTCGCCTCTATTCCGTTGGATCGATTCGATATCGCGAAAGAGAAGTTTTCGAAAGTCTAAAAGAAACCGAAAGAGTATCGATTGCAGCCCCAGGGGAAAAAGGCAAAAATTCGATGCCTCGGCTCCGCCATTTTGCCGGGCGTGCGATTTACCGAGAGATAGGAAAAAACGAGAATCGCGCTGATAAGAGGAAGCCGTTAATTGAGCGAGCCCGATAAGCGGCGAGGGGCTGTTATTGTCAATTAACGCGGCGATTGGTTGGCATCGATGCCGTCGTATTGAAACAGCGACAAATAGTAGCGGGTGACCGTGGATATCAATTTCCAACCGTTCGCTCGCGTGTCTTTCAATGAATCCCGACGCGTTTCACGCTATTCTTTTTACAAAACATTTCCTCGTCATCGTAAATAGAAGGAAAGACAATTAGTCGAGTTTTAAACGAAAGAATTTCATGTATTGGAGCAATCATTTGTAAAGAAAGAGCCGTCAAATTAGAGAAAATAAGAAGAATATGAAGTATAAGATTGTGGCTCTCTCCATGGTCCGCCATCCGTCCGTCTGACTATTGTCGTTCCTATTCTACTTGCGCGTACGAATCTCGAAAAGAGGCCCACCTGTAGGTCACCATAGGATATTTCCGAACATCCTCCAACGAAATTCGATGAAAATTCAACAAACTGTCCCAGGTTTTCGTTCGCGTTCGATGTAACGAATCACCAGGTCTTCTCGATTTCGTAGGAAAACCGACAATGATCGCGCGCCAGTAAGAATGATTCTTCTTCTGAAAGAGAAATCTCGTTATTGTCTGGCTGTTTGAACAGTTCGAAGGGTTTCTAATCGCGCGAAATCCCTTCCATCCCTACCTGGAATCCTTTATTTATCACGACGACGATAAAACCGACGAAGAAAAAGAAGAAGTTCCAAAGAGGCGAGGAAAGAGAGAGAACGTGTAACAACTTCCGATACCATTTAGACCAACTTTTCGCGACGCGTTAAGACATAAGCCTGCTCTTAAAGAACGAACCAACCTGAGCAAACAAACTGGTCGGAGTTAGCTATACTCTCGTGAATTAACCCGGTGCCACGGATTTACGATTCCTGCAACTTTCATCGTGGTTACTTGGAACCCAGCGACTAGTTTCTTCCCCTTCCTCTTCTTCTGTCCTCCCGCGAACGATTCGTGGAAACTGACAAATATCGATTGTTTAAACTCCCACGAGGTAAGCGGTAATCGGCATCGCTAATTCCCAGGGAAGTTTCCCTTCAATCAAGTTCGAGAACACGAAGGAGCGCGCAATTGTAGAGAGGCGGTAGGTCGATCGCAAATGGCAAATATCTTTTCGTTTTGATTTTCGTCAAAGGGAAGGACGCGGATGAACGCGGTATGCACGTAGGCGTCGTCGGCGGAGGCATCCTCGTGACGAGGTAGGAACCTACAGGTGGTAGGAGGTGCGATGGCGGGCGGCTAGGTGGTGGATCCTGCTCAGAGTATAATAGAGGGTGCAACAGCCCTCTCTGCTCACTCTTCGAGCACTCATCGTCCCGTCGAAAAGTGGCAAACATACATACAACACGCGTGTTTTATCGTCGTTCGAACGAATTCTAAGAAAGTCTAACGCTTTTGTGACCGATCGTTTCGCGGAGGATTCTTCGTCGAGAAGAGAAAGGCTTTCCAAGTCTGACCGAAGGTACGACTCGATTCCTTAAGAAACTACTCTAACACATTTCTACTGTCATCTTTTTCTTACTCATCGACTCTTATCGTTTTTCTCATGTTCGTTGATAGAACGGTTAAATAAATTCGCGGCAGTGAACGTGTGACAGGTGTTCGGAGGATCGAAAGTTTCGGTAACGAAGGGTAGCAGGAATCGAGAAGATATTCGAAGGATCGAAGCGATTGCAATCGGGTCACGCTCGATCTGTTCGAAAGAAAAAAAAAACGGTCCGGATTCGAACAATCGCGAATTAGTTGGCAATTTTCCGTGCGCAAATGGCCGAATACGAAACTGGCCACCGTTCGCTTATTGTTCGCTGAATAAATACCAGTCCGATCCGCGATCTATCGATGCGTGAGACAGGGGAAAATGGTACGGCACGGTCCATTGGAACGATGCCCCTTCCTGATTCTTCGTAATACTCGAAAATCCGTCGAATTATTTTCATATCGAAAATTCGGACGAGTTTAATTAACCGCGAATTACGAAAGCGTATGTATAGAAAAGAAGATTCTTGTACTACGTCGAGGAGTGAAAAACGTTGTCGGGAACGTATTCGCGATTACGGAGGAATGATAAAAAAGAAAAAGATGGACGGACGGAGGCGGGAAAAGAGGGAGGAGCGATAGCGGGAGGATGGTATTCGAAATTACTCGATCGAGTTTTCGTAGGCGAGTCGAATTATGTAAAACGTAATTGCGCGCACCCCTGGCCGATGTTATCTGTCCAAACAAGCAGCTCGGGTCGCCAGATAAATTACCCGGCTGAATGAATTGACGCGTTTCTTGGGTCATCGAGGATCATCCCTTTGCCACGATAAGCGTAACGAACAAGCGGATCTCAGGCGGTGAGAAGAGAAGAGAGAACATTGGGCCGCGGAAAAAGAGGGAACGGATAAGATTAAGAGAGATCGAAAACGAGGATCGAAGTCGAACAACCTTATCAGATGCGTCCCGTTCGTAGACCAATCGTTAGATAATTTTAATCGTTACGCTATTTCTTTCATTCTTTCCTCCTTTTTCCCTCCGTCGAAGCGTGCGAAACGAAATTTCATAAAAAGTTGAAACGGCGGACCGCGAAGAGTGACCTAAATCATAAACGCGACGAGAAAATATTTGCTCGACGGGCATCGCGTCTTCCTAAATCACTATAAAGGACTAATAAACCATAGGTAATAGAATGGAATTCAGCGACAAATGGAAACCTAGCATCCTAAGTTATGCTTTGACTAATTATCGTTCAATTTCGACGCGAACGAACAGGAGTTCGCGTTCCTGTTTTTAATAAAATCATTAAAAGTTATACGTCGATCATCGGTCAGACTCGAGGCTGAGAACGCAACAAGTGGAAAATCAAAGGGCTTTTCGTTTCCTGTTTCCCTTTGCACGTAGATGAAATTAAAAAGAAACAAAACGAATTGCTTTTCTTCGCGTTTCGAGGGAATCGATTGATAAGTTGAGAATCTAATCAACGTAGAAGCGCTAAGTAAAGGAAGACGAAGGTGAAGAGGAAGACTAGGAATTATTGTTTAGGGAATCGAATCTACTTGTTCGAGCAGAAAAATAAATCCGAAAACTATTTCTCCACCTCCTCGAACTTTTCCCGTGGCGCGTGAATTATTTTCGTCAGTGATCCTTGATATTTCAATATTGTTTCGCCGATTCTCGGCCGCACCTGACTCCGAGGAAAAATGATGGATGAGGAACGGACCAAAAAGAGAGCGCTCCCTCTTGAACGATAAACGCAGAGATTCGTGGACCAAACTCCAATTCATCTTATCGTCGAAGATAAGTCACGCGGCGTTTTCTTGCCGCAAAACGGACACGGTATCGAAACTTTTCTCGATTTCGCTGATTTCTCCAAGTTTCACGAGGTTCGACAAGCGATCCCTTAACATAGCTCTATTCACCCCTTCGCCGCGGCAACTCGGTTACCACAGTTTGAGCCTCGATGTTACGCATTCATGACTCTGATATCCACCATGTACCCTGCTAATCAACAACTTTCAAATTGCCAATAACGCTGGCCACTCTGCAATATCTCCCAAGGATCGTCCTCGATCGCATCGCACCCATTTGGAACGGGGAAAGAATTCTCGAAGTTGCTACTTTTCTTTAGAATTCTTTCTTCTAATATTTCGATTCTTTTCAGTGACAAAGAGGATCAAGGGAATGACGGGAAGGTCCAGCGCAAAACGGACGAGCCTGTGTCTGCTGGCACTGTTGTTCTGCCTCTCCGGCGACAATCTCCTGTTGGTCGTTGGAGAGCCAGAACCGATCCCCTCAGAGCTGTTGTATAGCGAAAGCTTAATCAACAACGCCGAGAATCTCGTAAGTATTACGTTCATTTTTCTTTTTTTTTTTTTTCTTTTCATCCTCCGGTTCTCGTATCGAGATGATTCATGAAAGATTCGGGTCGCTCGTTCTTAGATACTGTACAACAGGCTGAAGCAAGTGATCAAGGAACAGAAAGACGTGGAAGAGAGGAAGAAGGAGTTGGACGATATGGAGGTGGTGATCGAAACTGTGCTGGAATCAAGGACGAAACCCAAGACGAGTAACGGCGATTACATCGAGGAACTTCCGACGCCCAACGCGATTATCAGTCCGCGCCCCGCGAAACGTACCTCGATCAGCTGTGAGTATTCAACCTGATTATTTTCGAGTTGCTAGAATTTCGAATACCTTTCTTCTAAGCGATTCGAAACGATTCCCCCTGTTTTTTCACCCTTCGTCCCTGTCGATTATTCCCTCGCCTACGCCGGCACGCGGACAGATTCCGCGAGAAGAGCAGTGATGCTCGCGGAATCGTGGAAAGGGGAAAAGCAACCGCGGATTGCTCGCTCTTCCTTCCCGCGATTACCTACGGAATAGACTCGAGATCCGTACGTGAGCCGGCTTTGTAATCAGCTTCTCGGATGAGAAACTCCGACGAAATCCAAGTTATTCGCAGCGGGAAGTATATTCGCTTCCTTAAGTCCAGGAAACTAGTCCGAACCCTTTCGCCGCAGCAACGTTCGCGATCAAATGTCATAGGATATTTGATATATATATATATATATATATATATATTCTTGATAAAGTAATCTTAAGGATAGTTTGAGATTTCGTGCCTTGCTCCCCCTCCGGGAATTCAAGGATTTCGTCGAACGGAGAAGAAACCGAGAGGACGGCAAACCAATCGATTACGCCAATTGACTTTTGATTCACGTGACGTCAGGGCCGTGTCGATTCTTTCGTTGAAAAACAAGTCGCCGTAATGGATCCCCACCCTGAGATCTAGCCGAGATCGAAGCGGTTTCGATCGATCAATTTCTCTCTCACCGCGACACCCTCTTCCCATCGAACTCTCCTCTTAATTTCTCTCTCTCTCTCTCTCGAATAATTCTTAATATTTTCTATGATTTTTTCTTGTTTGATCGTTTAGATATGGCCCTGTGCCACTTCAAAATCTGCAACATGGGACGGAAGCGACAGCTACACAATTAAAAATATAAATGAAACGTAATGGTTGGCGGACGACGACCACGTCAAGAGAATGGTCGAGAGCCTCTTGCACGGTGCCGCACCCTTTCTGCCTCGAAAAAACGATGCGAAACCCGCGTGCAAAAGACGTGATACGGGAACGGAGGGCCACCGGGAAGATATTTCTCAGTGGGACGGAATTGGTGCAACGTGTGAACAAAATAAGGACGCGAGATCATTATTTCCAATTGGCCGATAAAAACACACTTTGCAAACAGCCATGGATGTTCGATCAACTCTTACTTGCAAAATGGAAAATCGCTTCGGATGTTTCCGAAGACTTTCTTGGAAACCTTTACGGATTACCTAGGAACCTTCCTTAGGGAGGCATAGAATGAAAATTTCTCAACGACACCGTCTTTTTTGAATATCCTTTTTCGTCCAACAAACTCACGTTGTTGCCCTAACTACACTTATCATTTTCTTTCTTTTCTTATTGCTTGTTTGCTCGATCGAGAGACGAGAGGACTGTGACTCCGACTGGCTCGGATCGAGTCCCGATTACCGAAAGAATTATTGATGATGTGGCAAGCAACACGGTGAGGAACGATAATGCACACGCGTTTCGCTCGTTAGTATTCTCTAGTATATACGTAATTTCATACGTTCGAGGACACTACATTCCCACGTTTTAATTTTCTTTATCAAACTTCTTAAGACAACGGCCTAGGGAGATGAATGCCTAGGGCTTTATCTTCGAAGTCTCGACAACGGAAGAGCACTAATTTTAATTAACGATCCTAAACATGCTCTGAAGAAATATATAGAATTTATTTCAAACAATTGCGTTGCAATTTCAAACGCGTTGAAAAAAAAAAAATTGTGGAATTATCTGGGAACGGATAGACGATGAAAAAAATGATCCAAGAATTTAATACGAAAATTATATTACCTCACTCGTTATCAATGTGGTGGGTACACGGATAAGAAGATGATTTAAACGTTTCATTATCTTTTTTCTTTTTTTTTTTTCTTTCTTTTTTGATACGATTTTTATTGCACTCGTGGTTTTATATCTCTGAACGATTGCACAATTTTTTCTCGTTTCGAAAACACGCAGCGAAAGAAAAAGAGAATGAAAAATATCGATCTTATTTCAGAGTGAAATGTCCTCGACCAGCCATCGATCGATAATCGAAATGGCGGATAGGTATTTATACGTTAGCTTTAAGTGAGAAGGGTGCAAGGACCGAGGCTTCGATATTCTCGAGATTGTCTACAAAAGAAAAATAATAAGAAGAAAACATCGTGCATACCGACGGTAAAAGTTCTATTCGTTGATTACGATCTTCAAATTTCTCTCTCTCTCTCTTTCTCGCTTTCTTTCTGGATCGCATGCATCTCGACGAATTAAACTAACTATGTCTTGTCTATTCTAAAATGAACACTGCAGAAAAAGTACAAAAATAAATGAGGATAAGGTTGAAAGAGAAACAGCAAAAAAGAACGTATTCTTTTTTATAACGAAATAGTTTTCTTCGAAAGAGATATTTCTTTTCTCTTTGATTCGACGTTAATGAAGGAATCTGTGCATCAACGATGACGTGAACGAATTCAGACAGGGAAAGAGAGGCCGCCTGCACCCTTCGATAAATTATTTATATTTGTTTCGTGAAAAGAAACGTAATCCTTTTTTATTTATTTAACCCCTATCCTAAAGACCGTTACTTTTTATTAACGCAACCCCCCGCCCCTCGATTATGAGAACGCATCAACAATTGTATTTTATACACGACTAGACGTCGATTATTTTCTACGGACATATTATTTTCACTATTTATAATTTAAATGTATACTACGTGTATCCACGTGAAATCTTTCATAAATCATATCTCAACAGAAACGATATACCCCTCTGTTACTGTGTCACATCTTTAGATACGATATCGCTTTGATTTCGAGTTATATCGAGTCGAATCGAGATGTTGACATTGCAGTATTGTGCAACTTCAAAACACGAAAGACAACAAACGTTGCATCATCGCGTAATTCGTAATGATAATGTAACGAAAACGATAGCAACAATAAAAAGATTGTAATCGTGTATACTGTATATATCTAATTATCTGTTGTTATTATTATTTAGTTGGAAACGATCGCAATCCCTCGAAATAAACTGTACGTGGAAACAAAATGGCTTTTGACTTTGAATATGCATATTTAATATTACAACGGGGTGCGGCTCTCTTTCCTCGATCTACTCATTTGGCAAATTATCCTTGATGAATTATAAAAAACATTGAAACTAATTAAAATAAAGAGACAGTGGACATGATTACAATTATTATGCAATGGTAAATTGAAATTTTAATGTTTTTTTTTATTTGGAGGAATAAACGGAGCGCGCAGAGTGCTGTACAAAGTACACGTGTTCGGTCGTCACGTGAGAAAAATAAACAAAGTAAACGCAAATTACTCTTACGTATCGCGATAAATGTTTCGTAATCGGCTAAATGTAAACATCTAATCGCAATCTTATGTATAGTTAGATCGCAAAGAAACGTATAAAGCATGAAAGTACAATTCAGTCTGTGATTCGTATTATCTTCATAACCTCAAACTACGTGAAACCCGGTAAATTTCAAATTCTTACCAGCAGTTACAGTTCGCTGAAACGTTAGCGGTCTGGGGGGATTCACTTGAAATTTGATAAGCACAAAAACAAGTAAAAACGCTTTCTAAATGACAGAAATGTCATTTTAAGAGCACGCTGAATCACCTATTACAGAAATTTATCGCCCCCTGTACGTTACTTTCACGAATTTTCGACTGAAAGTAACCGACCGATGAACTTGTAGCATTCATTTTTAGTTGGTAATACTGAAGCTTTAATCTGCTATCGATATTTAAGGTGATGCGAGCGTCGAAAACTTTACCGACAGTCCCTAGAGAAATCCCTAGACGCGAGTTTTCAAATTACGTCCTCATTTCTAAACAGAATGTAAAAAAATTTGAGGGACGTGTTCAGGAGGTGCTAAAGAATATTTGTCCGGTCCTTATATTATCCAAATCGTCAAAAACTTATAAAATATTGAAATTGCTGTCTGTCAACGATCAAGAAAATGGCGGATTGGACTCACCTGCATTGATTTATTCGTAATATAAACATTTCTGTGAATCGTATGTCCAAATAGGGACCAGACTGATATTCTTTGGGTCGGATAGAATTAAACGAACACCCAAGGGATGATGTACAAGTCTCCAGGTAGAAGTAATTTGAAAATTACGATTTCGTTGATTGTTCACTCGCGAAAGACGTCAACAAGGTAAAACAGACCAGAAATTTAGTTTCTCGTTCATTCTGTAGGGCGCAGTTCGTTCGTTTGATTAATAAACAATTGTAAAATTAAAAATAATAATTAAATAATTTTTAATAGAATAATTAAACAAAATTTTGCAATATATCCACGCGGAAATGTAAAGAAATAAACAATTTAAATAGATATAACAATAATTTGAATAATAAACAATTGTAAAATATAAAATAATAATTAAACAAATATTAACAAATATCAGATAGAAATAGTTAAATCTGCGGAACCGGTGAAGCGGAACGTCATGCTTGATTGCGCGCGCCGCGCGCCGGTACAAGCGCGACCTGGAGGAAGGTCAAATCTAGTCAGTCTTATCGCGACCGCCGAATGATACGGAACGAGCTGTCAAACATATACCGGTACGGGTTGACACTATGGATATTCGTGCATGGATTTATCAGTGTGTTACCACAAGTGTTTCTATGTGTGCCTATGGTGTTTCCTATAGTGTTTCCCATGTGTTTTGGCATATTTATACGGATTTATTAGTGGGTTTTATGGAGTAGTACCCTTTGTGTTTTGGCATATTTATAGGGATTTATTAGTGGGTTTTATGGATTGGTACCCTATGTGTTTTACTATAATTTTGCAAATATTTTATAGTGTTCTATGGTTTTGATCTTCGAGTGTTTTGGGATGTATTTGCATATGTTTTACCGTGTTTTATGGTGTAGTTATTCCCATGTAGTTTTGCATGCATATTTTTGAATTATCCTATATATTAGCATATTAACTACAACAAATTGAGAGAAAACATATATCGTTCAAGAATCGTGATTTTTATGCTTTCAGATGAGTGCTTTGGCCAGTGGGGATACCGTTTCTTTGACGAACCAACAGACAAGCTATGGGTCAATCTAACAATAAGATGCGTGGCGAGTGCAGTGGTGCAAGTCAACGATCGGTGAGTCGCATGCTTTAAAGTTCCTCCGGTTCCCATCATGTCGTAGGACGAATGGTCCGTAGCGACATGGGAATTGGTTGTAATTTTTATTTTTTGAGCGAGCATAGTGACCCACGAATATCATTGTATCATTTTATACAATGATAATCGTGCAAATTGCTTTTTTTGTGTGTTTTATGCCTTAGCTCAGGATAGGGTTTTCTTGTACATATTTACAAATATAGATTTCGAGTTTAAAAATGTAGAGAAGTCGGATGACCCTCCGACTTCACAATACATCTTCTTTTTTATATGTACAAGAATTTATTTCGCGATGAGCAGATTTCAATATCAAAGTAATAAGCATGAATACTATTAATTATTATAACTACTTATTTTGATAACGAAAACGCTCTTGAAATTGAAACGTTTTTCCGATTTTACTCGTGAAATTGGCATCAGATTAGTATATGGGCTGGCCCCCAGGGGGGTCAGTATTTGCTCTTCAAGCATTGTATAAACATCCCCTTTCGAACTTGAAATTCATTCTGTCATGTTCACGGTTCTCGACCTTAAACACTCATCATTCGCACTTCAGCCTCACGAACTCTATCACATAATCATTTATCCACTCGCATACCCTTGAGTAGTGAAATATTACCCCGTTACCCCTTTATCAAGTTAAAGTAGTGTTGCGAAAAATTTTCAACGCGAGAGTAAATATTACCCCGTTCGGATTTTCAAATTTAAGTAGTGTTGCGAAAAATTTTCAACGCAAGAGTAAATATTACCCCGTTAGAATTTTCAAGTTTAAGTAGTGTTGCGAAAAATTTCCGGCGCGAGAGCAAATATGACTATACACTGACTAGTATTCGGTGGGAATCCTTTTGGTTTTTATTTAATCAAAGTAGTTACAAGGATTCCGCGGCATAAGACCGTGAAACACCATCTCATGGGAGATAAACCCATGCATTACTAGGCCTTTGCAGGCGCAGCTTTAGAATACGGAACATATGAAAATATGTTACCATATTCTAAACTGTAGTCCTTTTGTCTATACTATGGGCGTCCGTCAATCTGACACCGTTGGATGCAACGTGTTGGACGGGCGGGTAGCGCTCTTAGCGAAGGGGTGCATCCTGTCCTGGCGTTACGACGTCCAGGCGGGGTGGGTGGTATGTAGCGTCGGGCGAAAGTCCAGGGGGCCTAAGAACCTCCGTTGCCAGCTGATATTAGCAGTGCACCATGTTTGTGTCATAGTTGCTCAATTTTGTTTTCTGTATTTGCTCTTCATGCTTTATATTTGCAAAGTCGAGTCACTTTTATTACAAATAAAATCCCCTGGGGCGGCCAACCCATATACTAAATCGGAGCCGTAAAATTTCGCCGATATTCTTACTTTTAATAAAGTGAGAATATCATCTTTAGTTTTTGCTAATCATACGTTTTAGCTTAGGCATTTCAGCACACATGAAGAAAACTGGTAGGTGAAAATACCTTTGGCCTTGTTCATTTTTATGCCCAAAGCTCATTCGGGTACTTAGATGTACTCGCGTGGGCGGAGGGCGGTGGACAAGGTTTAGTTTTAAGTGTAACACATTTTGGCGACTGACAAAAGTAGTGAACCAGTAGTGAACCACGATAGAAGTTCCACATGTGTGTGTGTGGTTAGGATGTGGGATTTGTATCGTTTATTAACAATCTTAACTTACTATAACATTACAAAGTACTTATCAAGAATAAATTGAAAAATTTGTACATTAGATAATTCAATAGAATACGAAAATGAAATGTATTACTTTAGCATAATGTTCACTATTATTTGTCAGTCGATTTCAGCAAAAAGGTATGATTTTATTAGAGTGTGAAAGTTGAATTGAACTCGGGTGTCGGAGGCGTCCCGGGACGTTCTCCCTAGGTGTAGGCATTTTTGCACCCGGGTGGTTGTATGAGAACCGTGGAGTGAATTTTTGTGAGAATGATTTTTGCCCTTTTTTAAATATAGCGATAGGCAGGCAGGTAGTTTACTTCTGGTGTGATTGAGTTTAGTTTATAAGTAGGCAGGGCCAGAGCAAGCTTTCATGTTTCTTTTCGTATTCTCCTCTAATACGTGAGAAGCTTGTATCTGGGGTTGGGAAACCAAAAATCAAGAGAAAAGATGAAAATGCAATTTAATTAATTTATCAATTAATTAATTTAGCATTCTCTCTTGATTTTTTCAAGGCCAAGCCTTATTAGTTTGTAAGTCGTAGTCGTGGTACTAGACCCGATTACAAAAATGAAGTATTAAAGTGAAAGTGCAGTGAAGTGAAGTGAAGTGAAATTAAAAAGTGTTTTATGTTTGGACATTTGCAAAAATTGTGCAGGTATGCGAGTAGCGATTCAAGGGATCGTTGCTCGTTTACGTGTTACATTTTTACAAATGTCTGAGCAAACGTAAAATTTTCGCGAGTGAATTTTGTGAGGCTATTGCCGAAGAAAGAAGAGGCTATATGCTGAAGAGCCCCGGCAAAATTTGCCCAGAAGAGGGGAACTACTAATGGCTCTCCATCTTCGGATGGACAGTCATTCTGTCACTATGCTCGCTAATTTGTTTTTTCATTTTTTGTGTTTTTCCTTGAACGGTATGAATAATACCGTCCAGGATGTATTGAACTCTACATTTTACGAGTTCAATACCCAGCTCGTTGAATGGTCAACTCGCGATTTTATTTCCCCTATTTCTTTTTCGTTTATTGCTTTATTGAAATAAATTATTCTTTTCTTATTGATTTGCACATCAATTATATTTCATGTTCTTATTTTAATTATGTTCTATTTATTTAAAACCTACTCTGAGATTGTAATGATAATTATATATTCTGTTTCAGCATTTTTCATTTCAGTTGTAATCGAAATTATGATGTTAATTATATTTTCTATTTCAGCATTTTATTGTTGAATTATTTTTTAATTGTTACAGAAATTATGACGTTAATTATATTTTCTATTTCAGCATTTTATTGTTGAATTATTTTTTAATTGTTACAGAAATTATGACGTTAATTATATTTTCTATTTCAGCATTTTATTGTTGAATTGTTATTTTGTTAATTATGATGTTCATTATATTTTCTATTTCAGCATTTTATTGTTGAATTGTTATTTTCTCAATTGTTTATGATATTAGGATGTTAATTTCATTTTCTATTTCAAGATTGTATTGTTTAAATTTTTATTTTATGTTGCCTGTTTTGAATGGTTTCATTTTATTGTATATCTAATCCTAATAATTATGTTTTCCGTTACAGCATTTTATTGTTAAATTATTATTATTTTCTCAATTGTTTCTGATATTAGGATGTTAATTTTATTTTCTATTTCAAGATTGTATTGTTTTATTTTTATTTTATGTTGTATGTTTTGAGTGGTTTCACGTTCTTATGATTTTAGGGTGGGTCACTAACGTAGCCACCTCCATGTGGTGTGACCTGGTAATTGATATCGTTTTCTAAAGATAACTTTTAGAAAGCGATATCAAGCTAAGAGCTACAATAAAAAGATTTATATATTTTTTAATTGGGAAACAATAGTTTAAATTCAGAAAAGTATTTTCGGGATTGCAATATTATCATATAGAACGTATAACTATAGTAATTTTATAGTTCCTGAAAAAGGAACTTGTATGATTTTTGACTAATTACAAATGACTAATTACATCCTTCTTTTCGAAGTCGGTTAAAAATAAAATAAAAAGAAAATCACAAAATATGGAATTTAGAAAGAATAAAGTTGTTTGATACGCAATAGTAGAAAGAAATCAACCCTGGCGAAGATATTTCAAGCAGAGACGTTGTACATTGGAAAGGCCATGACTTTATCCATGACTGTGGTCAGACGCCAGATCTGCTTTTCATTTGATAGAAATTCGCTACGTTGACTAACAAATATTTTTCTTATAATAATTTTCGAGAGGAATTCATTATTGAATGAAAGTAAAAATTTGCATAAATGGAGGGTGGATGGGATGAGGTAGGGCGGGTCTCCAAACCACAGCAACCTTCTCGTGGTGAGAACTGGGCAATCGTTATTATTTGATGACTAATTAATAACTGGAATAATTCGCTGCGAATTGGCAGCGAAATTTATGCTTTCTTATCTATTTAATCTCTGTTATATATTTTTCAGGAACTATGCCTTTCAGATTCTGAAGTGTATCACATTGCAACTACAATTTTACAGAACGAGAATTAATAATAATGAATGCATGGTCAGTATTGTTTAATTATATACTTATGCATATAGCTATCGTAGCATACACGTGTGATTTAGGTGTATGCGAAAGGTGACGTAGTATAGCATGCGATAATTGAGGTGGCGCTTAAATCAGTTTCTGTTCCGCCTAATTTTCGATGAAACGTTGACTGTTTTACCGACGCAGAATTCGAAGTTCGGCCTCGACGCTCGCATCACCTTAATGATAAATATTATAGACAATAAACAATCAAATAAATTTAAGAATGACTTTATTTGCATACAAAAGGAAAGCGATTATTTCACAAAATAGATTTACATATACTTATGCATCTTATATGCATACATTATCCTGTAGCAACGGTTGGTAAAGAGTAGAATTATTTACATTATTTCCTTTTTTGCTTGTATTTATCTGATCTTTCGTATTTCTCCGTGGAGCGATCTCTGTTACGCTTTTTCTTGTGATCTGAGTGACGTTCTTTATGCTTTTCGTGTTTCGAATCCTCGCTATCGGAATCAGAACTTTCTCTGTCCCGTCTCTTCTTCTCATTAGCATATTTTTTCTTCTCCTTTCTATCCCGATACCGATCTCTGCTCTTCTCTGTATTTCTATCTTTGCTTCTTCGTTTTCTTTCTTTTCTACGTTTAGAATCGTATTCGTACCTTTCCTCTCTGTAGTGTTCTTTCCCTGCATACTTTTCCTCGTTACGGTAGTACTCTGGATTTCCTTTAAACTCTTTTCTACGCTCATGTTTTCTATATTCCAGTATTTCCTCCCTCTCCCTTCTATCGTTTTCCCTTCGACTTCTCACTTGATTCCCTCTAAATTCATCTTTTCTTTTGCTTCTTGAACTACCTCTAGCTTGACTTTCTTCATCCTCTTCCTCGTCGTCATATTTGTCATTAAAATACTGTATTCCTTTACCCTTTCCTCTCCATCTCATTTTGGCAACCGACTGGGAAAAGTCCACGTGTATACGACGGTCATCGATCAACACGTTGTCCATTTTAAAATATGCTTCTTCGCAGCTTTTACGCTCTGCAAATTCGATGAACGCATATTGCAAAGAATCTCCAGTTTGTTTATCTCTGATAACTTCGCACCTAGAATGAAAAAAGAAACGGGATCGTTACAGAGAGAAAACGATAAAGAAAGTCTGTGTTCGAATTTACAAAATTATCCATACCCAACAATTTTTCCAAATCTGCTAAAAATAATTTCGAGATCGTCATCGGTCGTAACAGGATTCAATTTACAAACGAAAAGAACGTTTTCAGGAGGGGCCATATCCGCGTCTGGAATATCGCCTACGATTTCTAATATCGTTGCCCTTGCCTTTGCTTCTTTCTCTTTTTGCATTTCTGTAATTTCTTCTATTGTCATCCCAGCTGTGTCGTCTATCACTTCGTCGGCTCCAATTCTATCGCTCTACAAATACATTCACCCGTGATTGCGAAACAATTTTGAAATACTGAAAGTTAAGAATAAAAAATGAATATACCATTAGAACTTCTCTCGTAGGTGGTGGACTCTGATCAGGTACAACAAAATCCTTTGGATCCTCAAATGGATCCTCCAAGATAACGGCATGGGATATACGTATATCTTGATAAGGTCTATGGTCCCCATCACAGATGGTTTCATTGAACTTTAATATAATTTCTAGACCTTCTGTGATCTCACCAAATACGCAATGTTCTCCATCTAGTGATTGCAACTCAGGTGCAAGAGTAATAAAGAATTGAGATCCCAACATATTATTACCACAGTTAACCATAGACAACAAACCACTTCTATCATGTTTTATTTTTGGCATTTGTTCCGCCTCGTAATATCGTGCTTTTTCACCTAATACTATTCCATAGACACTTTCTCCTCCTTTGCCAGTACCGGTAGGATCTCCAGTTTGAGCAATAAAATTGCTCTGAACAGAATGAAACAAATTCCAGTTGTAGTATTTTAGTTTGCATAATTTTAGGAAATTCCGGCATGCTGTAGAAAACCATTTAAATTAATATTATGACAAGAGAAAAACTTAACCTCCAACTTCCTTTACTACTTACTTTGAGGGCGATCTTCGGTGTATAGATCGACAGTAAAGTCCCCTATTGTAGTTTCAACTACAACCGCCATGTTAATATAATTTACTTTCTTCTCTTATATTAGAATTAATTTCATATTTATTTGTTATTTACATAAGAGGACACAACTTGAAATCATCGCTTACCCACGGCATAACATTTTAAAACAATGATTACACATAAAAAGACTTGACATGCTTTTATCCTCGAGGGATCATTATTTTGGGGATCCCAGACACCCCAGTTGAGGTTTTTCTTTTTCCACACTTCGTATTCAAAACCAGAAAGACACAATTTTGACTCTCTTTCATTGTGTTTTCTTTAAACTATTCAAAATCAGCACGAGACCGAAAAATTATTATTAAAATAATTCTTTGACAAACTTGTATTTTAAAAAGTCCGCCATAGATAAAATATTTTTTAAATTCGACCCTGGCTCCATCTATACGAGAATGCCGCAAACTACTCAACGACTTATCGACTAGGTTTTCGAAACATGCGCGATCTATCGGTAAATGACGGAAACTACTTGCCGACTAGTTTCCGCTACTTCTGGATAGATGGCGATAGTGCTCCTTTATTTCGGAAAACCAGTCGGTAAGTCGTTGAATAGTTTGCGCCATTTACGTAAAGATTGCACTACGGTCGAATTTGAAACACCTGCCTGTTTGGCGTGAGATTTAATTTATCAATTAACTTATAATAAGCGCATGACGCCATCAAATTTAACAAAAAACATTGCGGCTTTTTTCAATTTTATTCAGTATCAAGTATAACAAAATTGCCTAGATAGGTAGAAAAATAAATCAAATATGTACAATTTAAGTTCACAGATGACTGATAGTGTTATGTTTTTTATCTGCTAAGATTGGTCGCAAGTAAACCAACTTGTGTTTGTAAGCATCAGGAACCAAAGCATTTAAAACCATATGCGTTATCGCTGCAGTAAAGCCCCAAACACGATGCTTTCCGCCTAAATAAACGGGCAAGGTGTAATTGTCGCGAAACTGAGTGTATTGACATAGAGAAAGATCGCAAAGGTTCCTAAGACTGATAAAGAAAGCTTCTTCCACTTCGTCCTTATTAATTTCAAGCTTTTCTGGATCAATTTCCCCGAGGTAACCAAAAACGGCTAAAACTTTGACGTTTTGTTTGTCAATCATGTTGCTGAATGTCCAAACGTCGACTTTCTCCTTTGGAATTTTAAGCTCCTCCCAAGTTTCTCGTAACGCGGTCTCTTCAAGATCACGATCTTTCTTGTCGTGCATTCCGCCAGGAAATGAAACCTGTCCACGATTCAAGGACATTTTCGTAGATCTTAAAGTATACAAGAAACCCAGTTCGCCTTTGTGCAAGCATAACGGCACCAAAACAGCGGCTTGATTTATCTTCTCCTCCAATTTAGGTGCTTTACGTGCTTTGAATTTCTCGATAAATTGATGTCGATTCTTCTCGCTTAACACCACATCCGGTTTTAAGAGATCCAAATTGACGCTACTCAGACGTCGCTGAGATCCCGTTAGCTTTATTGTAAAGAAAAAACAATGTTGTAAACGTAATATTATCTTTTTGTTGTTCCAAATTTTAAACGAAACAGATGATTTTATAATTTGAAGGTTAATATGTTTTGATTTTATTACCATAATTTGATAATTAAATATTTGCGAAGGACCCGGCATCTAGCAGACGGGAAAAGAAGCGCACGAGTCTGTTGTGTGTTAGTTGTGTAAAAGGAGGATGTGTGTACTTACGAAACATCGTTGTAAACAGCGAAAAGAAAAAGAATGTAGTTTCATCATTACAGTTAATATTGTGATAGCGTTCCTTGCGTGTCAATGAATGAAAAACTATATCACAAGAACTTTTACGATCCAGCACGTTGTCAGCTTTGACGCTTAATTTTATTCGGGATTTCTCACAATATGTCGCCTTCGTGCTAGTTTTATGCACAACTACTAGATGTCTGATCAATCGAGTTCAAATAATTTTTCTTTAAGATCATCCTAATCGATGCATCGATGTTTCGTTTATTTTTGTTTATACCTTTTTTGACATAAACATTTTAGACCTTTGACTCGAGGAGCCTCGCCCGAGCGATAATTATTAACTCTTAATCGTTCGTAACAAGATGCACACTACAATTAAAATATTTACCGAATCACGATTGTCCACCCTTTAATCACTGCAACGGAATGAAATTATAATTGTCATTGGTAACGTGTACATACGATAATTTCTTACAGCAGTTTTTAAAGGTAGAGAAAAAAAACAGGAAGGCTGTAAATATAACCTTTCACAATAGGCGTTACACGTTACGTGATCGTAGTCCCAACGAACGAAGTACAGCACCTAGTTACTGACCAAATTAACATTTATTTGAACAACAGTTGCCTTGTGAAGTAACAACCTGCTATTTTTCTCATTCTCAATGCATGATCGTCTGAATCACAATTTTCATTCGACTTCTACAGTTTAACTCTCCGTGTTGATCGCGATCTATTTTTAATTTAACATTGAAGATATTTACTTCAACAGAACTATCTATAACTCTGAAATGCAACTTTAGCACTTTGATGTATGGTCAGACTGGAATTCCGTTCATGGAGTTGAACAAGCGAAATAAAATATCGTTGTTATGAACAGAATAGAGGTTCTCATGTTCTAACATATCATAGTATAAAATATGAACTCAGATTATATGAAAGATAATTGTCATGTTTTGACACGATACATCGGTTAGTTTCCTACTTGACCACAATCTTAGAATTTTAATCTAAACCTTTCAACGGAAGCTATTCGATTTTAATGTTTTCGCATTACGAGATATTTATTCTGTCGCGACGAATAGATCCACAGTAAAGATCAAAAAGATTGTTGCTTTCGAGGGTTAAATACATTCAAATGCATTCTAATTATACTACATACGTCGGAGCGTCTACTACTAATATATTATGAATCGATCCGTTCGAGAGAAAAATGTTGGAAACAGTCGGTAAAATTACAATTCGACTGTGTAACTGTTGGGTACAAAATCAATGCATTTATCTTGTATCCGAGTTTGTATGTAAGTGATAATGCTATTACATGCACTTATTTGTGCATCATATGTAAATGTATCAGAAGATACATTTAAAAAAAACACGTTTAATAATCTATTGAATTACAAATTCTACTAAATTGTTCGCATTAATAACCGGATTTAACCTACTTTAAATAATTAAAAAATTAAATCGACTGTACTCTCTTCTGGAATAGCATCGTTAACAATTTAAAAACATGCTTTTAAATTTTCAAACGTGAAAAATTGCGTTCTCGTGAAGACGAAGCAGAGTCGATTAATTCCGAACATAGCCGAACGAAGCTGAATCATATTCGATGCGGTTTGCCTGTGATTACTGACATCGCCGTCGCGCCGTGTATCGCTCGCAGTCTCAGACCTCAGACAGTCTCAGAGTTCTGTTTGTGAAGTAAAAGACGATTGTTTGTCGCTTTTGTGTCTTCGTTTTAAACAATTATCTAAATCGCATCGATGTGGATAATACGGGCGATAAGTAATAGTGATACTTCTTCGCATTAACATCAAGCTACAATAGAAAGAAAATCGTTCGATATCAAGTACGCCGTTAACACACGTTATGAACTGGTTTGTGTTTTCTCGAGGTCACCGACGAACTTTGACAGACGTTAGTATGTCACAAGCCAGCGTGATATTACTTGTGGTCGGTGTTTGCAGTATCATCGCCAAGGTAGATTATTCATCTACACCAATATAATTCGCAGAAGAATCTTAAGAAGGGTTTAACACGTACACCACACCCTGATATCATAAAACGTTTGGCATTCGTGACGTCACTTCGACTGATTCTCGTGAAAGCCTATCGTTGACGCTTCAGCGTCACGTTCGACTAAAGAAGTCTATTAAATTTAATTATACCTTTGCCTTGTTCGTTAAAGGGACATATTAGCCAATATGACCCCTTAAGCTTTATTTATTGGGGCAAAGTCAACACAGAGATTTCTTTTTTTGCTTCCCATTAACGTCGATTTTCCCGCTTAAAAGAATGTGGGAAAGTTACTTTCAACTTCAACTATTTTGTACCTATATCACTGACCTATTATCAAACTTGTTGATATTGATGCGACATGGGATTTAATCTTTCGTACATTATATTCATTAATAATGTCGAGCAATCAAATGATTTTCACAAAAACAATGAATGGAATGTACCTAAATGACTTCATTTAATATCTATCTCTGTTCTTATCAAATGATCAGAATGCTAAAGCCTTTGTGTATATTCCTATAATGGAAGACGATGATTCATTACGTGTGACTGTGTATAATAGATAAAATGACAAATTGATATAATAATTATATATATTTTCTAAGTACTAACAAAGTAGATAAGATATAATAAATATACTTTGAAATAAGATTTAATATAGAATACTTTGATTCATCTGAATTCTTTGTTCTTTTAATAATAGGTATCAGCAGCAGATGATGGCCATTGTATTTGGTATGGAGAGTGTTACCAGGATGAGATGATGCACAAAAAAAATTGTCACTATATTGGGCCACCTAAGCCATTGGATAATGAGGGACAAAAGATACTTGCTAAAAATTGTCATCACTTAATCAATGATTCTGGAAATGGAATTAATACTTGCTGTGATACAAACCAATTGCAAACCATGGATTTAAATATTAAATTAGCAGCTAATTTTATAAGCAGATGCCCTAGCTGTTTAGATAATTTAGTAAAACATTTCTGTGAATTTACGTGTAGTACAAAACAAAGCACCTTTATTAATGTTACTGATATACAGGAAAGTAATGGTAATTGAATTTAACATTGAAATCTTTTATTTAAATTTTGAATACAAACGTATTTAATATTTATTTCTGTTTTACAGGCAAAAAATATGTCAATAAAATAGAAGTTTATATAACAAACAAGTATCTTGAAGGTACTTTTAATTCTTGTAGTAAAGTATCTGTACCTAGTACTGGACAATTAGCAATGGATATAATGTGTGGAGTATGGGGGGCCAGTAGATGTACTCCAATGAAATGGTTTCATTATATGGGTGATGCAGAAAACAATGGTTATGTACCTTTCCAAATTACATATAAAAATACAGATGAACCAGTTGGTAATTTTACACCTGTAGATCCTATTGTTACTCCTTGCAGTAAGGCACTAAATGTAAGCAACGAATAATTTAATAATCAATGTATTTCATATCAGTGAAATTAACAAAATAATGACTCTTTTATGTGTAAAAATATTGTAGAAAAACACACCAGCATGTAGCTGTGTGGACTGTGAAGGTAGCTGTCCAGTGCCACCTCCGGCACCTCCTTTACCAGAACCCTTCACTATTATAAGCTATGATGGCTATGCTGTGGTTATGATAATTACTTTTATAAGTGGCACAGTTCTCTTCGTCGTATCATTAGTGTGCTTCAATAATAGGAGGAAAATTGGTAAGAAACTGAAGTTATTACTTAAGAATATGTGTGTCAGATAAAGCTAGAAGTTTTCGCATAATTTTAATTCAGAAAATTTTTAATGCATCTTTTTTCTTTTAAACTTGGCATTGTTTTCTCAACTCAGCAATATTTTCATAATCTTTTTTTTTTTTAAACTTTGCAACAGTGATTAATCTTTCATGTGATTATCATATACGCTGTTTTAACGGCACAAGCAAAGTTCAATATAAATTATCCTAATCTCTAATCCATACAACTGACCTTCCCTTATGATGGTTACAGGATGATTTTGTTGTTTGGTTGTGGTTTAAGAATTAACTTGAAAACTTTTGCATTATGGTGTTTGGTTTCATAAACGTTTGTTATTTCTTTTCTTAATTAATGGTTTATAAGTGTTCAATAACATAATGTATGAAGGTTCTAAATAATCGTTTAGAAAGAGATGCAAAAAGTAATATTAAACCAGTTAACAATTATCATTAAAATAAATGATTATACCATAATAATGTTCAAATTATTATGAAAATTCAAATAGAAACATAACAAAAAGAGTGGATTTAGCATCAGTTGTATGTACGGTGTGCGTGTATGTATAGTTGCACGAGGTGAGGAGGTAGGAAGGCAGGTGGGTAGACGTCTAGCCGCAGGGTTACATAATTCAGGAGACGGTGCCCGTATTGCTCTCGCCGCTGACCAGGAGGACAGCCCACTTCAGTCCAAGCGTTCCAGTACGTTCCTATCAACTGTATCTTCAATATGTGGACTTGTGCTTGTTCTCTAACTTTTTTGTTATTGTACAATTTCCTTTCATTTTTATATTATGCTTATCCTATCACCTTCATTTGTTTTTCAAGTTAAATACTTTTTCCTTTATTTTGTGTTGTCGCCATAACATAAATTTTTCTATGCTAATGCATATTTGGTCACAAGAGACATCAATTAATTTATTATTTATTAGAGAGAACTTTTCAATTTACTTACCAAGAAAAAAAATTATTATTTGTTTCAACAAATTTTTACTGATAACATTGTTATTTTTATTTTCGTATTTACATAGTTTCATATTTTCTGCACTTTTCAATATCTTATAGAGGCATGCAAACTTGCTTAATTGTTATAAAATATGTTTAACATTTAAAGTCGCTACACAGAGATAAACAAATGTTTGTCTTTTCTCTTGTTGTTCAAAGCTTCGTGTCAATTACTTTAGATTGTATATTAAAGTGACCTGCTTTTGTTATCAATTTCTTTATGTTGTCTAAATGTTTTTATTGCAGCTCGTTCATCTTTGCGTTGTACTCCTTAATGCAATTGAATGTATCAATGCTTAACGTAATTGTTTTACAGCACGACTTAAGTCTGTTTCATTTACTACAGCACATTTCGGTCGTAAATATATACATTTCCTTGTTCGTAACACAAACACTTTTATAGGTGTGATATCTGCAGATGAGTTGCCGATTGGATTCGACGAAGAACAGCAATCGACTTTTATCGAAAGATTGGGCGCCAGCACTGATAAACTATTAGCGGAATTCTTTTGTTGGTGGGGTACAGGTATGATAACGTCATTCCCGGTAATATTACGCACGACAGTGCACTTTTAAATTATCAATAAAACCAAATTTCAGCATGCGCTTCACGACCGTGGTTCGTTCTCTTTGTTGGATTTCTTTTCGTCGTTGCTCTGGGACATGGAATAAAATATATCCACATTACCACGGACCCGGTTGAATTATGGGCTGCACCACAGTCTCGCTCACGGGTTGAGAGAAAATATTTTGATGAACACTTTGAACCGTTCTATAGAAACGAGCAAATTATTATAACGTCAGTAGGTCTGCCAAATGTAAGTTTAATTATGAATAGAATAAAGTTGTTTTTCAACAAAGTACGGCAAGATTCTAAATAAAACATTTTCAGATTGTACATAACACATCCAATGGTCCAATAACGTTTGGCCCGGTGTTCAACGATACCTTCTTGAAGACAATTTATCAGTTACAAGAGGGAATTAAACAGATCGTTACACCGAATAATTATACTTTAGCGCATATATGTTTTGCTCCATTAACAGGACCATTTACTGGACCACCAACAGTTTCGCAATGTGTTATCCAAAGTATGTGGGGATATTGGCAAGATAGCTTGGAAAATTTTGATTCCACAAGTGTGGATGATGATAATTTTACTGTAAATTATCTGGATCATTTCAGAACTTGCTCGCAGTAAGTGATTGAATCGCATTTAATTGAATTTAATACTATGTTAGTGGAAAATTCACCGTGTATTTCCCTTTAGAAACGCGTACAATCCTGAATGTCTTGCACCTTATGGAGGACCGGTAGAACCCGCAATCGCGGTTGGTGGATTCTTGTCACCTGGTCAAGATCTCCATAATCCTTCGTATGAAAAAGCCACAGCGGTGATATTAACTTTCCTAGTGAACAACTATCACAATAAATCCAAACTAGCTCCGGCAATGGAATGGGAAAAGAGGTGAGTAAACGAAACATAATGTTGTCGTGAACAAGATAAACTTCAAAGTATTTCTTGCTTAAATCGTATCGTTATTTCAGTTACATTGAATTTATGAAAAATTGGACAGCGACGAAAAAGCCAGCATTTATGGATATTGCTTTCACTTCAGAACGATCAATCGAAGATGAATTGAACAGGGAGTCTCAGTCGGATGTTTTAACTATCCTTGTATCTTACATTATCATGTTTGCGTATATCGCGA